CCTTGCTACCGCGATCTCGCCCACAGGAAGCCGTGACTGCGTGGCAGCAGGGAAAATGGCCACGGATCCGGTTCGTAACCTGAGGTGGTTCACAACCCGAGGTAAATTTTTGGGGCCGGAGCTGGTCGTAACCCGAAAAATTCGTTAACAGAGGCGTTCGTAACCCAAGGTACCACTGTATCTGAATAATATGTCACTATGGATTATAGCAATTTCATGAAGGCAAAGACCATTGCTATGTGGCTGTCAGAGGAATGGCCAGAGAGGAAACCTAATGTTACTGTGAGAACTTTAACTTTTTGCTATACACATCTGTCAATTTTAATTTGCAATTCATTTCCAATTTTCAAGAGTTAACTACTTCAGATTGTCTGTGCCATCATAACAGCACATCATAAAAAGTAAGCTCCTAGCATTATTTTTGCACTGCTACTATGCATCGCTCTGCAAATAGCCAGAGAATGGTCTAGCAGTGTACAAGACCATCGGGGTCATGTTACTAAAAGTCTCATCTGGGTGCCAAATGGTCCTGTTGAGCACATGAAACTGGCAGAGCTTTTGCATAATTTCCTATTACCTGATACCATAGGCTTTAACAAATGGGTTCCTATCAAGATGACAAAAATCTACCACCAACTTATAACACATGGTCATACAGATGATCCAACACATGTATTCCTTAAATATGTTCTCCACTCAGGAAATTGCAGTATGAAGAAAGAAATGGGATCAAATGAGAAAACTCTCACCCTGAGGTCACTGTGCTAGTGAGCAACCTAAATATAATAAGGATTAGACAAGGACACTGTGGGATACCCTTTATTGTATAAACACAAAAACAACAAATGTATTTTTGTGCAGTGCTGAGCTTCAAGGTTTAGTGACCATGGTCTAGAGAACAGATTTCCTGACATTTTGCCAGCAATTGTGGCTGGCATCTTCAGAGGCGTCTCTGAAGATGCCAGCCAAAGTTGTTGGCGAGATGACAGGAAATCTGTTCTCTAGACCACCGTCACTAAACCATGAAGCCCAGCACTGCCCAACAGATATCAGCCGGGAAAGCGGATTGTATTGAAATGTATTTTTGCTTGAGGGCTACTCACCTTTTTACCAGACGCCTGAAAGATTTTGACCAAAGAGCCAGAATTCCTATCTGTGCGGAATATGTATACCTATGAAGTTAAAAAACAACAAAGTAATTGTTCTGTCCCCAATATAATTAGATCAAATGACATTATATATGCATATCAATGTGCCTATCATGCTACGCTGTTGTAGGAAGTGTTATGCAAAGTGCAGAAAAGGGATAAAAGAGAGAAAGCCAGAGGAATTAAGGCATGAGATTAAGAGAAACAGAAGGAAAAAGAGCTAAATCAAGTTTACACCAAAATGTTCACTATACCACGCCATACTATTTTATCCTTACGAACCATCCTTGCTGCCACCAGGCCCATACCACTGCTTCATACATTGTCTTTTGTTCTTTAAATGTCTTTTCTCTTTCTGTTTGAGGATCTGATCAATTCCATACAGCCACAAGTTTCTCAGTCTTCCCCTTTCCCATTCACTCGTTCGTCATATAGTTGTTTTGTGATTCAGTCCTCGATACTTTATCTCAGTGTACCTCTTTTGTGCTGGTCGCTCATTTTTCTATTCCATCCACATTCATTCAGCCCTCATTCATTACCTTGTTTAAATATACCATCCTGACTATATTCAACTTGGTTTTATGTTCCTTCTGATATACTCAACTTTCACTTTCATATATGAAAGGGGGGAGCACCCTTTTATATGCAGCCATTTTTACCTGTTTCATCATTCATTCCTTGCAGTAGACCACCCATCACCTGCCACACACTGTAATTTCACCAACATTTAACTGTCTTAAAATCTCGCCTGCCAGTTTCCCATTCCCCACATAAACAAATTCATCTACCTCCTCTCATTTTTTTTTACCACTTATATATAATTTGCATTCATTCACTTAGTTTTTCCTGACAAACACAACTACCTTGATCTTTGATACATTACTTTTCACATCCATTTTCCTCACTGCATCATATAGTCTAATAGTTGCTGCAAATCATTCAGGTTTACAGCTAAAAATGAGGCATCATGGCCCAATCTAACACAGCTCTAACGTCGTCACAAGCATGCCGTACACATTTATCCATAAATATCCTGAACAGCCAAAGAGGATATCATGCTTCCTTGTTGCACTACCTGTTCAATGTTGATGCTGAGTTGCTGCCCTACATATAAAGAAAGTGAGATTCTTCTAAAGTTTCTTTGTCAAAATTTATTCAAAGAGGATAGGATAAAGTTACTAAAATCTCAGTTGGATTATTTTCCCCATTAGACTTGAATCTATCTCCCAGGTTCCTAAGGTAGAGATGTCCTAAAGTGGAGGTTTTTTACTCATGGCTCTTGTGAGAAATGAAGAGGAGGATGTTCTCTTAACTGATCATGGAGGAATGTCCAGCTGGTTAGAATGTGAATTTCTCTCCAGTCCTAAACATACCTTTACACTGAACCATTCACTAAGCGTTGTATTTATTTTCATACCTGCCTTTTCCCCATCGTGTATTGCTCTTATCAAGCAATTCACTTTAACTCAATAGTATTTGCACAAAACATTTGATACTTCCAACTTATTCAGTTTATCATTCATATATTTCTCAGAGAAAGAGCAAAAATTGGTCTGCACAACTCACTCCCGGCATAAAAGTTTACTTCCTGTCACTTCTTGTACCCTTTCAATCAGAATTCTGCCAAAGACATTCCCAGATACACTTAACAGACTAAGTCACATAGTTTTACATTTACTCTTGCTACTTTCCCTCTTCTTTAGGGGAAAAGTAATGGCATTCTTCCAATCATCAAGCACTGTTGCACTCTTCATGCACACATTACAGAAGTCCCACAGCCTCTTCGTAAGCAATCACTGTAGGAGGTTCATATTATTCTGTCAGTGGCAAAAGATTAGGAACAGTCTGGTAGCACCTCTTCCGACTAACAATTTTTGTTAAAAAGCTTTTGTGTGCTGTACCTCACTTTATCAGATGCAAATGGACTTCATATGGCAAAGTGAGCAGGAAAAAAAAGTCACAAAGGGGTATGCTTTTTAATAAAATCTGTCAGTTGTAAAAGGTGCTACCAGATGCATAAGCAAATTAGATCCATATAATCTGCTTCTTCAGTTGCATTTTCTACACCTAAAGCCTTAACATTTCTCAACGTTTATTATTTTCTTTTCATGGACCAAGAAAAAATAAATGAAAAGGAAATATAATAGTGATATGTTGAAGAATGGAATTGAAATATATAGAATAGAATTGAAATATATATTATATTATATATTTCGATTCCATTCTTCAACATATCACTATTATTTGTATTCTCCTTTCTAATACATTTCATCATCTTAAATCATTTCAGCACTTTTTATTTTTAATTCCATTCCATCTGCCAGAGGCTCCTTGTTTAGTCCTTTTCATCCATTGCCATTTTTTTGAATTTCCATCAAAATTGCTTTGCATTCTCCCTCCTCTTTTAAGTGTTCATTGCTTTCTTTGACTATTCATTGTAACTATATTTTTCACTCTCCACACTTTATAAAATACTTTTCATTTTTACAGCAATCCTTCTTTTATATACATAATTTCTCACCCACATCTTTTGAGTTTTCTGTACCATAATTCTTTTCAGTCGGTTTCCAACAATTTCCACATCCTCTTTCACTTTCCATTCATTGTAAATCTTTTTTTTTTCTAATATTTTTTTCCACACAGGTTATGTGCTTTCTCTCCTTGCAGCCATTTTACTTTCATTCTTTCTTTTTTCATTTCTTCCACATCCATTTTTCCTCAAGATCTACTCTTGAAACTACCAAATAACAGGCTGTCCCAGTTAGAATCTCTCACTACCCTTGTACCCTTCACTAATTCTCTTAATCTCTCATCATAAACAATCCAATCAGTCATGCTTTTTCACTCATTCCTTTTCTAAGCGTAGGCACGAATAGTCTCACACTCACATTTTTTAAATAAACAAATCTTTTCTAAAAGAATGCACAACAAATAGTCATCATCTCATTAATTCTTGGGACTTTAAATAGCCCTCTCACTTTTTCTGTACTCTCTCCTCTTTTCCCTATGCATCGATCCATGACACCACAGATAATATTTTTCCTAAATCTGATGCCTTTTGAACGTTATACAGTTTTCCCTCAAACTCATCTCTGATTCTTCTATTAGCACTAGAGCACATCATGCAACCATCACCAACTAATGGATTCCTATTTCATACATATCCACAACCTAGAAGACATCAAATCATAGTTTCTGAGAAACATTTTCACTCTTTTACACATAAATAAACCTATAACTCCTTCACTCATTTCATTCATTAATTTGTACTCTTTATTATTTACTTCTTATACATTCCAAGTCACAGACTTCCATATGTCATTATCACTAGCAGATAGGCCCACAGATACTGATCTCTACCATCCATCATGACACTGGTAAATCAAAGCTTTCACATAATATATTTTAGTAAGATAGAGAAAGCGTAGACTAAGTTACCGGGATTGGTCATCCCCATGCACCATGCAGCATTCCCCGCTAAGAGTAAGCACAGTCCTGGTCAGTTTGAGCACATTTTGGCCAGTATGCCATAAGCACAAGCGAAATCCAGTTTTATCACAAGCACAAGCACACTATTTTATGTAAGCTGGAATGTTATGTAAATTGGAATTATGTAAGCTTGTCTATGGTTTTCCTGTTTAGTTCTATGTTGTACTTCTGCCCTATCCAACTAATCCATGAGGGTATCAGGCAACAGCAGTCAAAAAAAGGAGGGAAAATAAGCCAAGATCTGACCAAAGGAGACACTCTGCTTTTATGCTTTGCTTTGCTTTGCATATCTGCACAACTGATTCTGATTTGTTTCCAGCTTGTTAAAAAATAATTAAAATAAACTATAGGTTAGGACAACACATAAGTGTAGTCTTTGCACAAACATACAGAATGCATCACAGTAGCAATCTTTTATGCTTGGACTCCGTCAAAAGGATGGTAACCTAAGGCTTATTAGGACGTAAGTCCTAATAACTGGGAAGTTCCTGATTAAGAAAGAAATTCTGCTAGAGTCTATGAAAAATCACTGACAATTTGAATAAGCAATACTGAATTGGGTAACATAAAGACTCCCTAAACCTTTGGTCTAGGTTACTGCAAAACAGTGTTTATCAGAACTGATTATATAAATGGTAACAACTGTTTGAATTTAAAATGAATTATGTGGTTTCAAAAAAGGGAAGTTTGTCTTTCTGCTGCTGCTAAAAATGGGTGAGGAGATTCTCAGAACAATGACAGTTGGAGCACAGGAGAAGGGAAGACTTGGACAAAATCTAGCCCTCCACTAGTTTATGGTTAATTATCCTCTTTCTAAGCTACTGCCAATAAACTCTTCTCAGGAGTATTCCTCAAACTGCTGTAGTCTTTGTAGTCTATAGCCCCACATTTCTTGTCCATCCATTTTCTTCTGGATGAACTATGAGCTGAAGCTTGATCAACAGCCAAACCTTTCCAACGCCTCCATCCTGGGGAGCTCCTCCAACGACGTCCGTGGTCATCAGTTGAGAGAAATGACCTGCTGTCACTGCATATCCTGAGCAGGGCATTTTTAGGGTGGACAAGCAGAGAAAAAAAATGACCAAAATATCAGCAAAAAAAAAGAAATGGGTCCAAGACATAGCTTATCTACCTGGATGAAAGCAGTTTTTTTCTCTCAGAGTGGAAGTTATTAGACTCAAGTAAAACACCTTCAAATTCTATAAGAGGCTTATTTTTCTGGAACAGGAACTCACCGTTCCTTTCAAGGTTTGGAATGATAAGCAACTGGCTAGTTTTTACCTAACAATAAGGTGGTAAAGATGTAAGTGAGGACAGGTAGGTCGTAAGAACAATAATTGAAGCCAGAAAAGGTGATGGTTATTATTAAAAAAATTAAAAGCAGGGATATAAAAAGGAAGAAAAATACTAAAACTGAAAAGCATACACATGGTATAAAAAAGATAATTTCTACCACTCAAGAGTAATCAAGATTTGTTGACTCAAGAGTATTGCAAACAGCACAAGATAGAAAAATCAGCATTATATGGAGTAAATGGATAACTTAAAACTTTTCTCTAATTCCCAAAATACTATAATTGGTGATCTTCTAATGAAAATGGATTGTGAGAGATTAAACTCAGTTAAAAGGAGATTCTTCACATAGATCCAAGTGGAACTGCAGAATTCACTAACACAAAATATGATGACAGTCAGAAATTCTCTGCTTTACAGAGTGATCAGACAAATTCATAGAGGTCAACACTGTGACCTGATTCGCAAAACAAAAGTCCAAAATGGGAATCTACCTGGGCAATGGCTTAAATTATAACTAGCATACGGAATCTTAATCATATTATACCTTCTGTTTAAGCAATGATCCCTCTAATTTCTAATGCTGTGTGTGGAAAGAAATTGTTTTTTGTACAGCTTTTCCCAAACCAAGTGCAAATACACCACAAGTATATGAGTAAAT